ATTTTCAGGGGGCAAATACAGAGGACACTGGAAATTAGATGGTTCTGATCCAGATATAAGGTGAGTTTATCATGCTTATTTATAATTCTAGGACATTTGGTGACATGATGCAATGTAGTACATTACGTCTTTAGAGAGGATACATCATTGGTCTTGGTGATTCGGAGCTCGAGGGCTCTGGACGCTTTTTTTGGCGGCTTACTTAGCTACTTTATTTATTCAGAACAGTTATTTGAACAGACGTAGACAAACGCGTAGACATAAAATGGCGTGATCACAAGGAGCGAGTTTATGTACTTTGCGCTAGAATGTAATTATCATGTTCAAAAACGGCTTAAAAATGACAAACGGTTTGAAAATGACAGACAATTGTAGCACAAAAAGTCAAAAAGTGAAGCAAGTGGCTAACTGCGTTTATAGATTTTCAAAATTTTCGCGGGGGAGGGTGGCCCGGACCCCTTACGAGGATGAGCATCTGGCTCGCCCCCCCGCCCCCCGCCCCCCTCACTTACAAATTCCTTCGGGCCTGATAAAATAATTTACTCTGACGTTGACTCTTCGGGCTCAATAATTATACGTGCCTCGAAACCGTTGGTGTGTTGCCGGGACCTCCATCTTGAATGTTGTAGCTTAGAACTCTCAAGGTGATTTTGTTAACCTGCCGATGCCATTCAGTTGAGCAAATACATTACACTATTCACTGATATAGGACCATTTAGATCAAATCCAAACTAAACCAGCCTACGGGAAGTCATAGTTGGCTAACAAATTTTTACAAAGAGCGATCGCTCAAACTCTTCTTTCCCTCCGCGGTCCTTTTCTTTTACAATGCTTTTTTTCCTCCGCCTGTCAGTATGGACTGCCTGGGCACTAGGTTAAGGAGATCTGGGCACCAGATATCTTATAGACAACCTGAGGGAGATTTGGGGATTAGACTAAGTGATTGGTAACCTTCATGCTCGTTTTATCTTCCGTCAATCAGGGAAAGGAAGGCTTGATTACAGGTTTAATTCAAGAAAGCACTGATTATTGCTTATGTATTTAATGTTTTTACAGACACGATGCTTATGTAAACTTTACAGAGGGCCGGTGTCCTGGCAGCAAAGCGATGGATTTCGGCAATGTGAGGACAAGTGTTACGATACCCAACGTAAACATCGGGGATTGTGATTACACAATTGCGTTTTGGATGAGATTTTCAGGACCTTATAATTATGCTAAAATATGGGGCAAGTCAAGAAGTGGGAAGATTCTTCATTTATATATTAATAGATTATATGCAAAATTCTGTCACCAAGTACCTACAACATTCGGCCTGAAAGGTGTGGAGATTAGAAGATATAGTTTTCAAAGTTGGACTCATATCGCAGTAACTTGCGAGCAAGATAATCGGCTCAAAATGTTCTTCAATGGTGAACTAGCGAATGTTTCCAATAGCGAGGCGCGACGTTTAATTCTTGACGAGACGTTCGTTATTAGGTACTCTTCATTGATACAGGATCTTCACATCCTTGGATTCGCTTTACCTCGAGACGAGATTTATGATTTATACAGAGGTTAGCAATTTGTTTATTTTATGAAGAGATTGAATACCTTATTCCATTACCCACATTATGTCAACAATCAAGAGAGAGTGAGTTTATTACCACTGAAACCCTTACAAAATCATATTTGTAACTATTCTGAGGCAACGTCTCAACAATTCAGTCAGCACTTCCTTTGTACAATCCTCAAACTGTCCATTTACTGTCCTTGCAATGCTGTTCCACTAGCTGCTTAAACCATTCAAGTTCATGACCTCCTTGTGGACATTGTGAGAAGCGCTTTGTTGTTGCTTCTGTATATAATTCCGCCGTATAGACTTTATAGTCGTGACAGTTTCGCCCTGACATATAGTCCCGCCGTTGCGTTTTTGTTAATTTTAGTTTGGCGTTATTGCATCCTTGATAAAGTCGTTTCACTAACTTCAAGGAAATGTCAAAGTAACATGTCAAAAAAATAAATTGTGTGTTACTCAAAAACGCGAAGACAAAGTGATTTAAAACACAAAGTTTTCACAAAAGCATGGAATTTAAGTACGGTGTCACGAAATGAGCGCACCTCAAACTGTAATGGTTTCTTAAGCCAGAATTGAAATCTCGTTCTCTCGGGTTGTTTGCACGCGCAGTCGAAACTCCTTAAAACACCAAGCCAGTATAGGAGAGCAATCTGTTAATGTCTTTAATCCTAGTCTTGTGGCCTCAGGGCGTTTTCATACGAATCGAAGCAAAGCGGTCAACTGAAGTTATTACATCAAGAAATCACTCAATATCTTTGCGTTTCTAATTTAGAAAGTAATCACAATGATTATGCCATGTGCTCATGCTAATAGAGAGCTTTGAGAGCGGTCGAAATCTAACTAAAGCTCTCACTAGAATCACAAAATTACGTAACAATGTAAATATCAACATCAGTAGATTGTAGCTTACTAACGTTCGCGGGTCTTGATTTTCCTATGAGAATTTCGCTCTAACTTGTCTTACGATCTTGAACAGAAGGGGTCTTAGTTTGAACTGAACGTGAACTATGTTTGTCAATCATTTAATGCATCAATCACGGTAACGTCAATCAAATGGGAAAATATTTCTCAACTTTACCGGAAGCGGTTACACAAACTGATCGCGAAATAAACGTGTCGCGAAAATTTCGTGTGAGAAGGTAGTTGCATAAGCGCTATAAAGGTGTGGGAATAAGTGATTGAAAAAGAAAAAAAAGGCAAGAAGAGGAGGAAGAAAAGAAGGATAGAACAAACCAACGAGAAAGAAAGAGCAAGATAAAAGAAAAAGATCGTCTTTGGGCAGGCTCCCGGCAAGGGCGAAAAAAAATCGGAGGGCGAAGTAAGCCGACGAGCACGAAAAATATATGGCGAGAGAAGCGAGCTGAGCGTCGTTTTTAACTCGGATAATGACCTAGTCATTAATCTGAGATGTAGCCATGGATGGAACATGGTACTCGTTCCTTCCGTCCTTCCTTCCTTCCCTCCCTCCCTCCCTCCTTCCTTCCTTCCTTCCTTCCTTCCTTCCTTCCTTCCTTCCTTCCTTCCTTCCTTCCTTCCTTCCTTCCTTCCTTCCTTCCTTCCTTCCTTCCTTCCTTCCTTCCTTCCTTCCTTCCTTCCGTTCTTTCCACCTTCCTTCGATTCCTGTTAACTTTTTCTACATCCGCTGACCAGTATATAAAGCGCTGGCAGCCCCTAGCGCCCAAGTCGGAAAAGATTTATTCACCAAGTGATTTGTCTCTGTGGCAATGTTTGTTATTCGTAAATCGTTTCTGCACGGTCGACAGCATATGTTTTTTACTTTTAAGTTCTCACTGTTAAACTATTTCAATGCTGTTCAATGAAAGTAGCGCCCTGTATGATTGACCTGAACGCAACACCAGGACAGAAGTCGTATTTAAGCCTATATACGATTGTAAGAGAACGACGTCAAGGTTCATCCTCCTCGATTCAATTGTAAGGGAAAGTCTTCATCGTTTTTCCCTCGCAATCCCATCTGACACTAGTGATAACTTGGGGCTCGAATAAGGCTAGCATATTTTGAGTTCAAAATCGATCGATGTACTGGACGACTCGAATGATTAAAAGCTCCAGATGATTTTCCATCGGAAAGCAAGCGCTGTGTTTTGGTAAGTATTTTTTTATAATACCTTTTTTTTAGCATCGGAAAGGCAAACACTTTGTTTCGGTGAATGTTTTCTTTGTATAAAAAAAGTAAAAAAAGATAATAAATGTTGTGCCTTGTAGGATTTAAACTCATAGCCTCTCGCGTTTTGGGCGACCATCTACTCTACTGCGCCACATCCGCATCGTAGGAAAATTGGTGAAACATATTCCCCATATTGGTTTCTACAGAAACGCTGGGTTGTCAGAACAGCAGGCTCAAGTAAAAAGAGTCGCGCGAAAATCGTTCGAGTCATCAATGGCTGAATCTAGCTTATCCTTCAAATAAGTCGTTGCCGAGCTCGTTCAAGTAGAGGTGAATTTTTGCTTTTTTTCGGACACGTTTCTCATTCCTGCGTTCGAAGATCTGTTTAGATGTTGGACAATGGCGTCATTCGTCAGGAACTCAGTGGAGCTGGAATAGCAGGAGACTGTACAACTCGCTGAAATATCGAACGACTACGTTTGGACATAACCTATGGATGGACTCGTGTTATTTAATTATTACAAAACTCCATTCTCAGCCTTTCGATCATAAATCATTATCCGAGTTGAGAAACTCACAGCCACTTTTATTTTCTCGTCTTATAACCCAATCGAGAGCCTACATCTCACAAGCTAAATAAAGAGGATATACCAACCGACTGACCGACTGACCGACTTTAACTTGCACCAACACCAGATGCCTGTGAATTTTTACAAATTAGAAATAGCGCTCTATGTATTCCATTCAGTTCACCAGAAAGGTAAAAAGTCATATATACTCCATAACCGCTTTGTAATTGTAGTTAATTACTGAAGTCACGGCTTTAATAAACACCTTTCCATTATTGTAGATTTCCCGTTATTCACAAACCAAACAAAGGAAGTTAAGGGACGCACAGTTACCCTCAGGTGGGAACAAGGCTCGTGTTCTGCCGTCATGTACACTGTTTATTACAGAGAAGTGAAGCCAGGAAATAATGCAAGCATATGGAAGATAGTTAATGTGTCGCGATTTGCAGACCACTATAACCTTGAATTGGAATGCCTTAAGGAATATGAAGTAGCAGTTACTGGATGGGGAGCCAGAACACTTAAACCATGGAGAGTCAAAACTGGACAAGGTAAGAAGGGATAATATTGACAATGAAGTATTCAAACAGTTCAGGCAAGAGTGGAAAGAGAAACTTACCTTAGGTTTTTGACGCTTTGGTTTTCCGGCTTGTCGAAATACTTGTTGTAAAAAAACTGAATCCAAGTCCAATATAATGTAACAGGCGACGAACCGGAAAAGAGAAGTTATGTGGACCATAGCTTAAAAAAATTTCAAGAAACAACTTATGTCTGCTGTTTTCTTTAAAACTGCCCGTAATTATAGAAAAAAACCTATCTATTAAGGTGGCTGGCAGCAGTTTCCAGCAGTTTCCAGCAGTCATAAGTACTTTGATGCCGGGTCAGTACTAAAACTCTTTATCAACTGGTGTTACAATATCAGTATCAGACAAATGCCCAATCATTGGTCAACAGTTGTGGCCATCTTCATGTCATAATAGGTTGCCAAGGCAACGATACAACCGGTTAAAAACACCCTTAATTTTAACTTTTAGTGCATGTAATTCAAAAACGGCTCCGTGAAACCATTTATAATAATCGATTTGTGATAAGATACAAATACAAGGGGTAGTTCAAACTTTAAGGTGGCTCTGAACCCTACCTACAGAATGTTTTTAAACTTTGCAAAAAGTTGTATCTCAACATGCCTATCACAATTCCTTATGTACGTAGTATGCCCTTCTCGTTTTACGTTGAGGAAAAATGTTTTTTTTTTCACTTTTCATTTAGATTTTCCACAGATCGTAAACTTGAAAGTAGCGGGACGCGATGTAAACATCACGTGGCTGCCTGCATTCAAAGGAGAGTGTTATGACTTTTGGTACCTCATCTACTACAGAAACGTGATTTCTGAAGGATATACAGGCTTATGGGATGTACGTAACGTGTCTCAATATAATGCAACCAACTACAATCTTCAACTCCAATGCTACAAGGAATATGAAATAACAGTTACTGCACAGAGTGCAAACGGAGAAACACCTCTAAACCAAAGCAAACCGTTCAAAGTCAAAACTGAGGGAGGTAAATACAGCAAGAACCAGTAGCAGGGAGTACAACTAATGTTATTAGTCTGTTGTGTGAAGGACAACTAGGTGACAGCGTAATGAAGTTCTCATAAGAACTAGTTTTGTATACTCCTGTCACCTGGGCATCCTGTATTCGTAAGTCAATGATATTGACGCCTTGCATTTCATCTAAGCCAATGAGAACAATTCATTTTCTCTGAATTATAGGTGACCGTTAACCACTGATAATCTATTTGTATCGATTATTTTAGGTAAACCGTCTCCTCCCGTGGGTGACAACAAGACAATGGAAATAGACAGTTGCGCTCTGAATTACATGTGGAGTCCTCCAATGCACACTGGATGTCACCTTACGAAGTATGTAATATACTACAGGGAAATTCAATCAGACGGCAACGAAGCTGATTGGCTGCAAATTCCTATCACTCAGCTTAAAAAAACGTCCTATGTCATACCACTGAAATGCGATATGGAGTATGAGATTGCAATGTCTGTCAAAGATGAACAAACGGAGAGTGTCATGTCAAACTTCTGGCGCGTAAAAACCAAGTCCCCTGCGCCAGATATACTTTCCAACAATTTTTTCTCAGGTGAGTTTTTGTATGTTCCTTCTCCATTGCTCAAATAGAGGTCTTAAAAGCCCTTTGATTTACTACTTAACTAACCATAACTAACAGTGCTCAAGCAAAAAGGCACAATATCCTGTTTTCATAAGTTATTGGTTATTTGAAGCATCTCTGGCAGAAAACAAATCTTCCACCTACGAAATAATTATAAGAGTGGAAGTGGAAGAGGGGGGCGGGAGCCCGGGAGAATAGAGGACATGAAGCGGGAGAGGAAAGGACGAGAAAGGGCGGGAAGCGGGAGTGGAAAGGGCGGGAAGAGGGAATTCTAAGAAGGCGGGAATCAATTATTAAGCGTTGAAATACTTTCAACTGAAAACAAGAACCCAAAATGTTTTTTGACTTACATTTCGCTTATTTTGAGACTTCGGGACCGACGGAAAAACGAAAATTCGCCCTTCGGCTGAAAACTGAGGCCTATTTCCGGTAAAATTGGAAAGCCTTTTACGGTGGTTACCTCATGAAAGGTAAACAGGTCATGAAATGCTGTCACTTAAGCTGTCAAAAGACGTGAGTAAGAGGAGCAGGGCTGAAAAAAAAAGAAAACGCCATAGGATTGCGCAGCTAAATAACTAGGATGTGTTTTGAGTCTCCTTATTTACAGGGACGAGAGCAAGACGGACGAGGGCGGAAGAAGGTAGATAAAGGTACAGGAAGCGGAAGAGTAGGGTACGGGAAATGGGAGGTTCTGACCGCCGTGTTTCGCCCCTCCCATATAAGATGCATACAATGTATTTGTTAAGGTTACTCCATACAAGGCTTATGTTTTCTTTTTTCTATTTTTCAAATTGTTACCATACTACTGATTGATTCTTTCCACACATCATGTCAAAGTGCTTTTCAAGCAGCTTTGTAGGCATGTTGTGCAATGAATTAAGAAATCTGTCTTAAGCCAGGACACAAAGCGTGTGTGACTATATGAAGAATTTCTTCACTCAGGCGGACAAACTATTGCTGTGATTGTTGGAGGTCTTGCTCTTGTTGTCATGCTACTTGTGGGGATTGGTTGTCACAGGAAGAGAACAAGAAAGAGAAAACTAAATGTCCTCCTTGCAAAACGGTATGGGAGTACATTTCATTTCTTTCATTTGACTTAAAAGTATTGTCGAGAACTGGGATAGGCTTTTTTCGTTTAATAAGAAAATTCTTCAAGAAAACAGCTTTTTTGTTCAATCGCCAGTGGGTTACGTGGACTAAGCTTTTACTAGATATATCAACCGATTTAATTCGTATGGTAGTAAATCAAAGTGGACCAGGCGTTGACTCGTTGATATTGAAGGATCCTTCTAGCCAAACACTGAAATTTGACACCTGATTTTTGATGTTTTGAAGATCGTCTTGTGTGGCCGGCTAGTGACACGTTCGTTTTAGACAAAAATCAAACACGAATTTATCCCTAGCGAAACAGAACTGAGCACCAGAAAAGAACTGAGTGCATACTGTAAATTTTCTTTACCGACAGGCAATAATTTATTGTAACATCAGCTCAGATGACAGGGGAAAAATTTCTTCGGCGCAGAGTACACCTGCTCGGCGTTCTGCGTTATGTCTGGAGCAGCGGGGTTATCTATGTTAAATTTTGTTACTCAGGTTAAAGTCCGACATGATTCCCTTACTGCAACGGGAAATTCCACCGGAACGGATAACGTTCATGGAGGAACTGGGTCGAGGGGCTTTTGGTAAAGTACACAGAGGAGCCCTGAAGGAGTTACCAACAGTAGAAATATTTGACAAGCCCAGGGATCAAAGAGTGGAAATCAAAGAAGCAAAACTGGTTGCTATCAAAACTTTACTTGGTGAGCAAAAAGATATATGTGATACTGAACTAGCGTGAGTTCTGTATTGGCCCGTATTGCTACATAATAAAGAGTAGCCCTGTACGTTAAACACTCCTCAGTGGTCAAACAAGAGGGAACCATGTGTTGTATGTTTTATTTTCCTGGACAAACTCTGGTCAGACCGATACGTTTTTTGTTTTGTTATAGCAGATTTTTAGTCAACAGTTTAGTTAAATTTGGTGTAACCATGAAGATTATCTACTGGGCTACACTTATTTCTCGGTTATCACAAGCAATTAGTTCATTTATTTTCTTTTTGTTTCCATGTTATTTTAGCAACAGCCACCGAGGGAGGTAAGGAACTTTTCCTGCAGGAAATTGAGTTCATGAAGCAAATTGGCTCTCACCGGAATGTCCTTAGCATGCTCGGCTACTGGGTAAAGTCAGAACCCATCATGTTGATTCTGGAATATGTTCCACATGGCGATCTTCTTCAGTGGCTAAGAGGCAAAAGGCAACAGGTTTGAAAAAGTTGGCTCTTTTAGAGAGAGATTAAAAACGTTGCTTTTTTTTTTAGCAAATTAAAGAAAACGAGTGGCGTGCATGATTACTGCAAACAAATGCTATGTATTAAAGTTTAATTTACAATAAATTTACTCTAAAATATTGCAAGGATGGCTGTCATTCTCCCAGTAGTGGTCGAAGTCAAGACATTCGTAAGGGAATTTCAATAGGAGAATACAAAATGCGGATCATAACAGGCTGATTTTCTTTTTGA